TGTCATAAAGTTATATTCGGAAAGAATAAACCAGTTTTCTTAAGTAAGGACTTGTGTCGCTAAAGTTTCGTCGGAACGAAGTTACGGAAAGTCAATTAACAAACGGAGACGTAACAATACCAAATCAGGAAGCTACAACTGTAGCTTCGGCTATTAGTGAATTCTTCTTCAGATTTGGTATGCCATATGAACTGCATTCAGATCAAAGCCGTAACTTTGAATCAGCTGTGTTCCAAGAATGCTACAAGTTGTTTGGCATCCGAAAGACCAGGACAACGCCACTGCACCCACAGTCTGATGGGATGGTAGAAAAGTACAACTGGACACTAGGACAGGAATTGGCAAAGTTTTGTAATAGCTGCCAAGATGACTGAGATGTCTTACTCCCTCCACTGTTGATGGCCTTTAGGACAGCATAGCATGAAACCACTGGATACACTCCAGCAAAGTTGATGTTTGGTCGGGAACTTCGGTTGCCAGTAGATCTGTTAACAGGACACCCACCTTATGAAGAGTTGCCTGAAAATGTGTCAGAGTTCGTGAAAGTGTTATCGGAAAGGATGTGTTACGTCTCTGGTCGTTAGTTAATTTTTCGTAAAAATTATTTCCGAAGAAACTTTAACGATGCAAGTCCTTTCTTAAACAAAACTGGTGTATTCTTTCTGAATACAACTTTGCAATACACTTAATTTTCACAGTCACGCTATAGCAAACTCTATAATTCACAATGAACGACTCACGTGCTCGACTCAACAATACGTCTCTCTTTGTCCGCAGTTCAATTACATTGTTGCCGTCACTTCTTGGCCGTCTTATATAAAAGAATATCGTTCAGCTAGTAACCTCTCGAGGCTTCACGAAGCTTCGAGAATATGACGTGTTACTAGCGTCACGTGACCCAGGCTGTCGTAACAGATGGTTATCGGGAAGAATTTATACCGGAAATTAACAAACGACCGGAGACGTGACAATATCATACACCTAATAATGCCTGGAGACGGCTTGAATCATACACCTAAATTAATTTAGCTCACTATATGGTGAGTTAAGAAGGTCTTTAAGAAAAACCCAAACAAACAAACAAATAATCTAAAATACAATAACAGCAACTATAACAGTACGCAAAATTCTGATTTTAAGTCAAGTAAAAGTAGGTTCCGCGCTAAACATTAATAAACAGTTAATTTATCCTTTGTTGATCACTTTATAAAGTAATGAATTTAAATTTTCAGTTTTCGATGAGTAACAGTTGGTGTTTTGTGTATATTTCTGTTGCAGTTATTGGGAGACAAAGTAAACTTGCTGTAAGGAACGTAAGTCACTGCTGGAGCAGTACACTAGTAATTATAATACAAAGTGTCCTACCATGGCTGTATTTACACTCGTTTTGAAACAGCGACACCTAACTACATTGAAAATGGGTGGATTCTGTTCCTATAACAACAAAATTGTTATCAGCATCCCACACGGTTGTCATAAGTTGATAATCAAGAGATTAATTTGGTGCTTTTATTGAAGCAGGTTTGTGGTGGTTTGAATTGCAGGAGTCCAGAAGTGTAAGAATTATGTTATTAAGTGTTCTAGAATTCTGATATAATACTAGTACTAGTATTACACATTGACTGTTTGAGTTTGAAATACTGTGTAACTTGTAAGTGTAACAGTGACAGCCTGCGGATAACGTTTGTCTATTGCTTTGACATGTTACTGGCAATTTTTTTTTGTTTTTTTTTTACATTTATGTTCAGCTTAGGCATAAAACTGTTACTTGCGTATTGCCCATTACAATTAGCCACAAGATCTAAAATTTAGCAACCAAGATCATATATTTCGTCGGTTAGTGCAGAGACGTCTAGCTATTACGTACTGTACTTTGTAATAAACGTATAATAAATATTAATATAGAAAAACAAGTGGCAAAAACATTTTTCGCTTGTTATTAAAGCATACATTTGAATATTATTTTGAAGTTTTGTGTATTTCTTAAATATTACAAATTTGTAAAGTAGACCCATAACTTGAAATTGAACTTTGGCCAAGCATAACCTTCAAATTCAAGCCTGAATATTATAGGCAGGGCATAGTTCTCGTCTGTGGATGACTGGATGTCATAATGAATTTTTGGGGTAGTCATATTCAGACCCATGATAACTTTTAAGCATTGACAACAATCCACAGGATCGGCTATATGCATCATGCAGTACCAAACTGTAAAGTTATTCACCATAAAGTATAATTAAAAGGATGGATTTTTTGGAGTAAAGTAACTCCACTCACAATATTTAAGTGACATTTTAATCTCTATTATTCATTGTTTATTTAATAAGGTATTTCAAGGGAGGTGATAAAAATTGTCTCATTAATTATAGACCCATTAGGCTTGTATCTGTTGTGGGAATAGTTTGGAAAGTCTGATAAAAGATGCTTTGCAAAGTCATTTAAGAAAGTTTAGAATTTTACTGGATGTCGAACATGGTTTCAGTAAGGGAAAATTTTGCCTTATGAATCTTTTGACATTCTTTTAAAAGGTTACAGCTTATGTAGATGAGTGTAAGAGTGTAAATTTGGTGTATGTGGATTTTCAGAAAGCATTTGACAAAGTGCCACATAAAAGGCTTGTAGAAAAATTATCTCTTTAGGTGTGGGGGATAAATTAGAAAATTGGATAGAAGAGTGGCTGGATGGAAGAAAACAGAGGGTTGTTGCAAATGGAGATCATTCAAACTGGATTAATGCCACAAGTGGGGTACCTCAGGGCTTAGTCTTAGGACTTTTGTTTTTTTTCATTTACTATC